GAGGACGAGGGAGGAGAGAGGGGGTGGAGGACGGAGTCAAATCGGATGTAGAGCCAACCCGCATAGTAAGGATGAACGCCTTTCAAAGGTTACCCTTGCATCCTTCCAGGCCGCGTTCGCTGGCCGCGCCCCGCTCGCAAAGTGCCAACATGGCCATCAAAGCCCCTTGCATCCTTATAACTGTACCTCGTCCGTCCCCTCACCGCCCGCCCTCCTCCGGCTCCTGCTTGCCCCCGCCCCCCCGCGCGAGATCATCGGCCACAAACGGGACCTCAGAGAGTTCAAAGAGCTGGTGGCGAAACGGCTCATCAAGTTGTGCCAGGACGGCCGCTGCGGGCGGAGGAGGCGAGGGAATGGAGGAGGAGGTAGAGGGGAGGAATGAGAGGGAGAGGGGGACAGGAAGAGGCGGGGGGAGGGCGGCGGAGGGAGGAAGAACTGGCTGGCAGAGGGGAAGGAGGAATAGGAGGGGGCATATCCCCAAGAGGTTGACGGCTTTTCGCCAATAGACTTGTGGGGATGAAGCCAGATAAATCAGGGCATGCCAGGTAAATCCAAGCCAATCCAGAGATCAGGGAAATTTGGAGCAAATCGTGGCCGATCCAGCGCGAGTCGAGGGACGGTAGAAGTCGTTAAGCCCTCAACCTTCCTCCTCCTTCTCCTCTTCCTCCTCCTCCTCCGCCTCCTGCTCCTCCCACTCCTCTTCCTGGGCACAGCCTGGGGCGCCACAGAGTCTAAGGTGCCTCAGCAGGACCTCGAACGCGGCTAGGGGCGCACCTTGCAACCGCCATTAGCCGCGCCCATCGGACACACTCCGCGCCGTGCGCGGGGCCGGGGAGCAACGGTGCGAGGGTCACTAACGGCGCGCCGCCGGGCAGTCCCCACTCGCACCGCGCCCCCCGTTGGGTAGCCATAGACACGGATTAGGGCTCTGGGAGCAGGCGATAACCTGCATACCTCAGAACGCTCTTCCTCCTCCTCCTCCTCCTCCTCCTCCTCCTCCTCCTTTCGTCCGTGCCCCGCCCTCATTCTTTCGTTTCGAAGGAGGTCCCCCCTTCTTCTCCCGCCCGTGCCCTGGAGGAGCTGAGCAAAAAGACGAGGAAGGAACTCTCGAGGAAGAAGTCGCAGGACTCGCAAGGGCGCGAGGACAAAGACCACGCTGAGGAGGACGAGGAGATACCAGCAGAAGATGATGAAGGCGAAGGCGAGGAGGAGGAGGAGGAGGACGGCGAAGAAGACGAGGAAGAGGAAGAGGCGGAGGAGGACGCAACAAGGCAAGACGAGAAAGCCGAGGAGGAGGAGGAGGAGGAGGCCGAGCGCATCGTGAAGAAGCCAGCTGGAGTGGACACGGAGCTGATCATGAAGAAGCCAGCTGGAGTGAAGGAGATCAGTCTTTCTCACTGCGTCGCTCTGTCTCTCTCTCCCTCTCCCTGTCGCACTCACTCGTCCCCCCCGTCGGCGTTTCGTTTATATATATATATATATACCCGTGCAACGAACAAGCTTTGCAACATTATAAGTATCCTCTCTCCGTCCCTCTCTCTCTCTCTCTCGTCTCTCTCTCGTCTCTCTCTCTCTCTCTCTCTCTCTCTCTCTCTCTCTCTCTCTCTCTCTCTCTCTCTCTCTCTCTCTCTCTCTCTCTCTCTCTCTCTCCCTCCCCTTGTCGTCATCGCCCCCGCGGCTGCCCCAAAGTAGGCCCCATGACCCACTGGGTATACATCAGTCCCTCTCACTCAAGCCCCACCGACGTCTCCTCTCCCCCGCATCCCCTCACTGGATCTTCCATCCTAGGGCCCCCGATGGGCCCGCAACTCGGAGTGAAATCATTCGTCGTCGTGGTCGCCCTCCCACCCCCTTCGAGAGGAGCTGCCGTATGAATACGGCTACGAAGAGGACGTGAGCCAGCCGTGGAGGAGGAGGGGAGGAGGTGAGAAGGAGTACGGGAAGCTCATCCACGGGGAGGCCGCAACGGACCCAGCCATCGCGGAGTGGCCCGACGGCGCGACTCGGCCAATACATCAAGTGTTGACAGCGGACCTCCCCACGGCGGCCAAGCAGACCGAGGACCTCCTCCCCACGGCGGCCAAGCAGACCGAGGACCTCACCCAGGCCGCCAAGCAGATCTTGCGGTCTGGACTGGTGGTCGTCTCTCCCACTCCCTGTCCTATTCCTCTTCCTCATCCTTCTCGTCCCCTGTTCGACCTCCTCGCCAACTCCTCCTGCTGCTGTTGCTGGTCCTCCTCTTCCCGTGGTGTATCTCTTTCTTCCCCATCGACCTTCCCCCAGCTCCTACTCCTCCTCCTCCTCCCCCTCCTCCTCCTCCTCCTCCTCCTCCTCCTCCTCCTCCTCCCCCTCCTCCTTCTCCTCCTCCTACTCTCTCTCCACATCCCCGTTTCAATGCTGATCGTCCCCCTTATCCTCCCAGGGTTGCGGGTAAAGGCCAAACAAACTGCAAATATACTATTACAACGGATCGCAAACTGCAGCCGAGATACCGCAATGATTTGCGTTTGGGGCGGTCAAGCTGAAAATCGTACACGGACATGCGGACAGTGGCCTCGCGTATTTGAACGCGCATGTGAAGCGTTTAAGGCATGTCGATCAATTTGGGTGGTGAGTTGCATGCCAAGTTTCGTGCTCCTCTCCCGACCTCGGAAAGTAACGCTTGTTAGCCCGAAGTCGATAGCCACCCCACCCCCCGCGCATTACTACTGCTGCTCCTCCTCATCCTCCCTGCTCCGCCTGAGGAGTTGGCGGCTTGCTCTGGAAGGACGAGGGCACTGGCGTGAAGATCGTCAAGTCCATGGATAGGGGCAACCCCCTCATGAGGCTCAAAGACGATCGCGAGGAGAAGCCGCAGGTACTAGGGTTCCAGCTGGAAAGGGCAAGGGGGACTGAGATGCGGATGGGGGAGAGGAGAAGGGGGGAATGGAAACGACGGAGGTGGAAACGGAGGGGTCGACTACACCATGCAATGCGAGGGCTGACGAAAGCGACGATAGGAGGAGGAGGAGGAGAAGGAGGAGGAGGAGGAGGAGAAGGAGGAGGAGGAGAAGAACGAGGCGGAGGCGGAGGAGGAGGAGGAGGAAGAGGAGGAGGAGGAGGAGGAGGAGGAGGAGGAGGTGGAGGGCGAGAAGGAGGAGGAGGAGGAGGAGGAGGAGGAGGAGGAGATGGAGGAGGAATAGGATACCAGGGGAGCGCGAGACGTGTGGCATGGACCCCAGGTGGCGCAGCTGATGATCCACTTGTTCGACACCCCGGAGATGTGCCTCCACTACGCGCGCAGCCTCGCTGACAAATATATTGGAGGCCATCGGGGGCTCGGGGGGGTGCTGGGAGCGGAGATGTGGAGGGCAAGGGAATGTCAACCCTAGCTGGAGGGTGGAGGTGAGGGGGAAGGGTAAAGGAAGGGACGCAGAGTGGTGCAGGGCGTGAAGGCTGGAGGAAGGGTAGATGGACTGCCCTCCCCCCACGGCCGAAGGCGCCAGCAGGGACCAGATTGAGGCCATGAAGGACGACATCCTCAAGGACCGCAAGACGGTGTTGAGGACAGAGATGCTGCCGAAGCTCCCTCCTTCGTCGATCTCCCTCGGTAGCAACTCACGTGAGCCTTGTAGACCCTAATATTTGGCGTCGACTCGCGTCGGTTAGCGTCTGGGAGTCGTGAGATGGCGCCGATTTAGCGTCGAATAGCGTCGATGTAGCGTCGATTAGCATCGATTTAGCGTCGACTGGCGTCGATTCGCCAGAGCCAACAAGATGGCATGGGAAGATCCCGTGAGTTGACTCAGGCTCAGCCTGTGCCTGCTTCGGACTCTGATTAAATCAGAGTTGGCCTCCTGCTGCGGTGCGAGTGGGGACTGCCCGGCGGTGCGCCGTTAGTGACCCTCGCACCGTTGCTGGAGGCCAGTCTTCGGGGCGCGTAGCGCCCCCTTCGCCAGGCCCCTCACCCGGCCTCTTCACTGCTCGGCGCTAGTCACAGACCTGCGCCTCGGCAGCCGCAAGCCGCAAGCCTCGTCCTCGTTCTCATCCCCCACTCCGCGTAGGAAGAAGCCTGCTGCAGCTATCATAAAGAGGCCTGCAGCAGCCGACGAGTGCCCGTCCACTCCCAAGGCAAAGGCGCCCCCAGTGCCGACGTCCCCAGAGCCAGCGGCGCCATCACGATCACCAGCGCCGACATCATCAAGGAAACGGCCCGCTGCAGCTCAAGATCCAGAGACGGCTCCGGAACCCATCGAGAACATCAAGCAGAGGAGGAGCCCCGCCTCCGGAGCCCAGGACAACTGGGACGAAAGCATCCTCCTTCGCCAGCTCCCCCCCTCCCACCCCCTCCTCCAAGACCCTTCCTGCCAGACCCCTCCTCCCACACCCCCCTTCTCCCTCCTCTCTACTCCTCCTCCTCCTCCTCCTCCTCCTCCTCCTCCTCCTCCTCCTCCTCGTGCTCACTAGCTTTTGCCCTTCTACGCTTTTTCTTGTCCCTCCTCCTCCTCCTCCTCCTCCTCCTCCTCCTCATCGTCTTGTGGGACCATTCTCCGTTCCCTGATCCATCGCTCGAGAAAGTCAACCCGCATAGTAAGTATGGGCAACCTTCCCAGGGGTACCCTTGCTCCTTCGACACATCCTTAGCGACTTCCGCTGGCCAACCTCGTTCGGAAAGAATAAACATCGGCCTCCAAGGCCCTTGCATCCTTACCTTGAATGTGCTGTCCCACCCCCTCAGTCCCCAGCTCGATGGGTGCATCGGAAATAAGGACTGGACGCCGCTGAGTTTGGCCAGGAGCAGCCCCGACGTATTTCATCGCTCGAGGTGATGAGGAGTGGCGCAGCTAGGCATGGGGCGAGGCGCGAGGACCCTCGCCCACTCGGTGCGAGAAAACATGCATCGGTGACCGCTCTCCCATGGTCACGCCCGCCCCGCCCGCATCTCCCCGCCGTTCCATCATCGGACCGTTCCGCGAGTAACCCCGCGTTCGTCTGAGCAGGATGCATATCGGGAGGGGAGGGCGAGGATAATGACAAGGAGGGGGATGGCGAGGAGCGTGGCAAGCTTCAAAGGATGACATTATTATATAGGAGGAGGAGGAGGAGGAGGAGGAGGAGCAGCAGGAGGAGGGGGAGAAGGAGCGCAGGGCCATGGTTGCCGCCTGCTACACAGTCAAGACGCCGACATAAGGACCCCTTTGGTCTCAGGAGATGCTCGAATTGTCGGGCCGTCCCTTGTGATCTAGGTCGGGGGATCTATTCGTGGCCGAGGCTCGCCGAGGTCAGGAAAGCCCCTTTCGTTCCTTATTTGGAAATGCGTTTGAAATATCGTGGTCTCCGAAATGCGTGGCTCAGAGTTTCTTTTAGGTGCGCGGTTCCTGCACAGATGGCGCCCCCCCGCAGCGTGTTCGTCATAGACTCGGGCGCCCCCCCACCATGGGTCCGCCTCGTCGACGAGCCGACCGCCGCGGTGCCAGCAGAAGCGGGCCCAGTCGACGCGGCCCAGCAGGACCAGCTGGCCGACACTCAGACCACACAGGTCGAGGTGATCGACGCTGACGAGGAGGGCCAGCAGTGCGCCCAGCAGGCCCAGCACGACCAGCTGGCCGCCGCGCAGGCCCAGCACGACCAGCAGCAGGCCCAGCAGGCCCAGCACCAGCAGCAGCAGCAGCAGCAGGCCCAGCACCAGCAGCAGCAGGTCCAGCACCAGCAGCAAACCCAGCAGGCCCAGCACCATCAGCAGGCCCAGCAGGCCCAGCACCAGCAGAGGGCACAGCAGGCCCAGCACCAGCACCTGCAGCGGGCCCAGCAGGCCCAGCACCAGCAGCAGATGCAGCCGACAACACCAGGTCACAATGCAATCATCGGAGCCCTCGTCCCCCTTCGTCACCCGTCTCTCCCCCTCCTCCACGGGGAAGGAGGGGGCACGGGCTGAGTGGTTGTAAGTGGTTTGCATGGTGGAGGGTGCCCGCGGAGGTTACGTTGTGCCTCTCTGGGAGCAGTCGTACAGTCAGCATCACGATGAGGAGGTGCAGAGGCTGAAGGCGCAGTCGCGCGAGGAGGAGACGCGCAATAGACTGACCTCGATGCCGCCCCCGCCGGTCCCCAGCAAGAGCCTCCAGCGAGGCAGAGTCGACGACGCCCTGCCGCCCCTGCAGTCGCCGCCGCCGCCGCTCGCGCCGACGCCGCAGCCCTCGCAGGATTGTGGGTAAACTACGCCCACGTCTCCTAATCCTCCGCATCCATGTGCGTATCCTCCTCGTGGTCCTCCTCCTCCTCCTCCTCCTCCTCCCCCTCCTCCTCCTCATCCTCCTCCTCCTCCTTCTCCTCTTCCTCCTCCTCCTCCTCCTCCTCCTCCTCCTCCTCCTCCTGTCTGGCTCAGTTGATCTGAGCTCCTCCTGCTCCTCCTTCACCTCGAGGCCATTGCCTCCTGAGTTGGGCTCGACGGTTTCGGCTCCCAACGGTCACGCTGTTTCCCATAACTCCTCTCCCTCGTCCCCCCCTGTGCATCCAACCCCCCATCCCGACTCCCAGGACGAGAAGATTCGACTGTTGACACAGCAACTGATCGAGCTGAGGGCGGCCGCAGGATTACCGTGTGCCGCGCGCGCTCCAGCTGGCGAGGAGGCTCCGCCGTGCGATGCGCCCGTGGTGCCTGTGCAGCTCCCGCCTCAGGTCCCAATATTCCCGCCAGGCACGTGGAACACGAATAGTCCACGTGCTACAGCGGTGGAGGCCGCTGCGACTGTTGCTGCTGCTGCTGCTGGTGCTGCTGGAGGTCCGCTGCAGATCCAGTCGGCTACTACGGGCGCGGCCGTGGAGGCGGCGGTCGCGGGCGCGGATGTCCCGCACGCGCAAGCAGGTGGTGCAGAGATGTCGCAGGATGTCTCCTGCCTACCTTCTCGCGCCCTTACCTATCCTCCCACTCCTCCCCGCCACCCTCCTCGCAACCATCCCCCTACTCCTCCCATCCCCCCCTCGCTCATCCCCCCCCCATCCGCCCCGCGAGGACACAGCTGCGGTCGAGCGGATGCTGGCGGAGAACGCAAAGAAGCACACCGCAGAGGTCCGCCCCAATGGGCTGAACCTAAATCTGGTCCAGCGGAGGGTTGAACAATGGGTTCGGCTCTCTACCTGCGCCTGGGAGCTCCCAGGGGTGGGCGGCGAGCTGAACCCATTCGGGCAGCCCTAGGAGGAGGAGGAGGATCAGGAGGAGGAGGAGGAGGAGGAGGAGGAGGAGAAAGAGGAGGAGAAGGAGGAGGAGGAGGAGGACCAGGAGGAGAAGGAGTGGGGAGGAGGACGAGGATAAGGAGGAGGCAGATGAAAAGGACGAGGAGGCGGTTCCTCCGCTTTCGCCTCCCCCTCCTCTCCACTGCCTCCGCGTCATCTCGAGAGGTCCCCGCGGACGCCTTGGCGAGTGAGAAGTCCAAGGCCTCCGACGGCGCCTTCGTCCATGACGACCCCCTGATCCAGGCGGCGTTCGAGCAGGACTTCAAGTTCGACGCGAACTCGTCGCTGGGCGTGAAATTCTACAGGAGCTCGGGGACAGAGCACGCTTGCCAGTGGCAACGATCACAACGATAACAACGGCACTGACAGACATCGATCGCAACGATAACGATTCTACATCGTTTATCGTGTGTGTAATTGATGTCGGTCTTACCGTTTGTAATGCTACCCGATGGCGACGATAGCGATACGGCTGATGGGAGGAGTTCGGGGGACGGGTGTCGGCAGCGATCGGGGCGCGGGCCGCCGCCCAGGACACTGGCCCCGCAAGCCATGCAGAAGTACAAGCAGCTCAACCGGAACATGAAGAAGATCGAGCGCGAGGAGTGGGCGCGCAAATTGTACACTGAGGCAAAGGTGACACACCCTGTTCCTTCCTCCTCCTGCTCGGCCTCCACCTCTCGCTCATCATCCGTACTCTCGCATCCTCGCCACCCTCGCCTCCGCCATCAACGTTGCCACTGTTGCTCCTCTCCTCCTCCACCATTGTCGTCGCGGCTGGTGTCTCTTCTCCTCCTCCTCCTCATCTTCCTCCTCCTCCTGGTCCTCCTCCTCCTCCTCCTCCTCGTCATATCCTCCTCCTCCTCCTTCTCCTCCTCCACCTCGCCCAACATCCCCATCCTCCCTCCCTCCATCCTTCCAGACACCTCCCGTCACCCTCTCTCGGCCCTCATGTCATGCCCTCCGCCGCTTCAGGCGAAGCGCGAGAAGGCGAAGATCGAGACGGAAACCCAGCGAGAATGGGGCACGATGATGAACCTGGACTCGATCATTCGCGAGGAAGGGGGGTAGATATCGTCAGAACCCGTGTCCCCATTAACTAATCAACTCACCCCTATAGGGGTGAGTTGACTAGTTAATGAGAGCAGCTGCTCTGGCGATATCTGGCCGATCACACACGGGGGTGGGTGGTCGGGCGGGGAAGAGGCTAGTCATGGTGGTCAATAAGATGGGAGTGCTAGGCCCCTCCCTGCTACATAAATTAAAATGGAGGTTCGTGCAGGTGAGCTCGAACAACCCGTACTCCCACCCATCTTCTCGACCACCAGTCCTGGCCAGCCTCGTCCCCGCCCGACATCCTCCCCCGTGTGTGATCGGGCGCCTTCTTGAGGAGGGAGGCCGCAAATCGGCGGCGGCAGTGCAAGGGGCCATTAACTATTGCGCCGCCGCCACACAGCTGGGCTGGTGCAATGGGGAACAAACGGGGCATGGCGAACAAGACTTGCTGCCTCCACTCCCCAATCCTCATTCCTCCCCTCTGCCGTGCCCGCACGCCCTGCCTTCGCTCCCTTCCCTTCCTCCCTCTCTCCCTCGCTTTCTCTCAGTCCCTCTCGCCCTCTTTCCCGCGCTCTCCTCGCCCTCTCCCCCTCTCCCTCGTCCCCCTATGTATCTCTATATTATATACAGAGATGTATGCAAATACGTCTCTCTCTCTCTTTCAATTCCTGTCCCTATTTCCATCCCGTCATCCCCATCTCTCTTGTATACCGTTTTTTTTTCTCTCTCTCTCTCTCTCTCTCCCTCTATCTCCCTCTCTCTCCCTCCCCCTCCCTGTATCACTCTCGCCGTGTCCGCACCGCCGCAGCAAGGTTCCAGTACAACGACATGACCAAGCGGATCGAGTTCCTCTACAAGAAGAAGGGCTTCGAACATACATTCCAGACTCGCTGGAGCTTGCGAGAGCAGGAGGTCGCGCGCAAGAGCAAGACTCCAGCGCAGGTGTTGGGTCACGAAAGGGTGCGGTGGGGGGAATAGCGGGGAGGCGAAGCCAGAGGAAGGAAGGACGAGGAGGAGGACGAATGAATGCAACCTCCAATACGCTGCAAGAGCGGGTGCCGAATGAGGGCCATATTACGGTAAACGAGCGAGGGCGAGAGAACACGAAAGGCGGAGATGCAACGACCGAACGAGCAGCCGAAGCCCGAAACACGAACGGACCACGGAGAGGACGAACACAGATGAGGATGAAGATGAGGATGATGGTGAGGAGCATCAGGAGGAGGGAAGAGTGTGGGAGAGGAGGAGGGGCAGGAGGAGGAGGAGGAGGACGAGGAGGGAGCATGTAGTAGTATATAGTCGTGAACCCCCCTCCCGAGGTGGCGGTCGCAGATGAGCTGGGCGCGCAGCTTGCGGCAAGGACGACACCACTGGTGGCATGCGAGCAGCCTCTGGCACTGGCGGCGGGCGCGCAGCTTGCGGCAAGGGCGGCACCAGGAGCGGCGGGCGCGCGGCTTGCGGCAGGGGCGGCACCAGGAGCGGCAGGAGCGGCAGCGGCCGAGGCGGCACCAGGAGCGGCTGGCGCAGAAGCATCGGCAGGGGCGGCGCCAGGAGCGGCAGGAGCGCAGCTTTCGGCAAGGGCCGCACCAGGAGAGGCTGGCGCAGAAGCATCGGCAAGGGCGGCACCAGGAGCGGCAGGAGCGGCAGCGGCAGGGGCGGCACCAGGAGCGGATGGCGCAGAAGCATCGGCAGGAGCAGCACCAGGAGCTGCAGGAGCGGCGGCGGCAAGGGCGGCACCAGGAGCGGCTGGCGCAGAGGTATCGGCAAGGGCGGCACCAGGAGCGGCAGGAGCGGCGTCGGCAGGGGCGGCACCAGGAGCGGCGCAGAGGCATCGGCAAGGGCGGCACCAGGAGCGACAGGAGCGACGGCGGCAGGGGCGGCACCAGGAGTGGCTGGCGCAGAGGCATCAGCAATGGCGGCACCAGGAGCGACAGAAGCGGCGGCGGCAGCTGTCGTGCTGCCAACGGCAGGTCCAGCGGCGGCAGCCGCAGCTGAGACGCCATCAAGCAAGAGCAAAGCGGGAGACGAGCTCAACACGGGCGAGAAGAAGAGCAGGAAGCGCGGCCAGCCAGCGCTTACGAAGAGGCCTGCAGGAGGCACTAAGAAGGCAAGGAAGGATGAGTCTGAGGAGGCGAGAAAGCTGAGGGAGGACGAGGAGGCTGCGTCCGAGAGCGCGCTGCAGTTCCGCAAGCAGTTGTCGGCAGGGAAGGCGGTGTTGGATCTCGTCAACACGAGTGCCCAGTGGGCAACGCGGGGAACTACACTAACGAACGAGCTGCCCCTCCCCATGGGGACTACTGGTCCCTGCCCTCCCCCCACCTGCTTCCCCTTCAGCCTCTCCCCCTTCGCCCTCGCAATGCATCTCGCCATCACCCCCAATCTCGCGTGGGGCACCCGTGCCCAATGTTACGCGAGTCCTCCCTTGAGGCGAGCTTCAAGAACACCCCCGAGATCAAGGCGCTCGAGGAGAAAGTGAGCATGCTGAACCAAATCTGTCAGACTAACACGTTCGCCCAGATGTACGTCAACATGGACGCGAGCGTGGTCCAGGTTTTTTTTTTCCCCCAACCATCTTGTGGTGTTTGGTCACCGCTTGGAAGGGACAGCGCCCCGAGTTCATGTCCTTCCTCCTCCCCCTCCCAATCCTCCCTCACCCCACCACTGCATCGTCTCCGTTTCGGCACACCCCTCAAACATTTCGTGGCACCATAAGGAGCGCCACCGAAAGTCTCCATGGTGCAATTCGCATGTGGACGTCGCACCCGTTTCGGCAAACCCCTCACACGTTTCGTGGCCCCGTGGGGAGCTCCACCGAAGGTCCCAATGGTGAAGTTCACATGTGAGCGTCACGCCCGTTTCGGCAAACCCCTCACACATTCCGTGGCATCGCGCCTGTTTCGGCAAACCCCTCACACGTTTCGTGGTCCCGTAGGGACCTCCACCGAAGGCCCCAGTTGCGCAGTTCGCATGTGGGCGTCACGCCTGTTTCGGCAAACCCCTCACACGTTTCGTGGCCCGATATATGGAGCCCCACCGAAGGTCCGAATTGTAGGGTTCACATGCACCCGTTGTAGGGTCAACATGCACCCGCCCACCTTCCCAAATCGGCACGCACCTCACCCATTTGGGGGGCGCCATAGAGAGCTCCACCGACGACGATCCTCACAACTGCTGCACTCACAACTGCATCGGGTTGATACTTTCGCCAGGCTGTGTTTGCATGTATGTCTGGTGGGTTGCATCTGGTTGTATGTCTGCATGTGTACAGTCGAGCTCCGCGCTTCAGGATTAGGCATTCGCTAATTTGGGTGTGGTTCGCATTTATATGCATATAGCGGGGATGATTGCAGACAGTTTCGGGTGCGATCCCACTCCAATTCTCTCCACCTGCCACCTCAACCATGTTCCAATCACCATCGAACCTCCACCCTTCGACCCGCCCCGTTCACTCTACCCGCCCACCCCCCTCTACCGCAATTGCCTCAGGTTGGAGGGAAGGATGGACCATATTTGATCGCATTGGTCTACTCCGCCCATCTATGCTTCTCACCTCGCCCGCTGTCCCTCCCCTGTTCTGTTAAACGTGGCTTCACAGCAATTGTACACGGGCGACTACGCGCTCGCCGTTTCGAGGATCCCCTCCCAGCTCGATGGGGTCACGGAGGACATGGAGAAGCACGTGAGTGGCATCATCGCGCTCCGCAGCACGAAGGAGAAGTACTTCCATGGACAGTATATGGGCCATGGTCGAATTGCATTCCCCTTCCCCGTTCCCGTCGGCCCTCAAACCTTGATTAGACCCCCCCCCGTCGTCGGCACCTGGCCCTCCGCCCATCGCCCTGCACAGGCACCTGGCCCTGTCCCTGCCGCCGCCCTGTCGCCGCCTCGGTCCCTAGACCCCCCCCCCGCCGCCCGCCTCGGTCCCTAGACCCCCCCCCCCGCCGCCCGCCTCGGTCCCTAGACCCCCCCCCCGCCGCCCTGTCGGCCCCTGGCGTCGGAAAATGCGCGTGTTAAGATTGTGTTAAGATTTGTTAAGATTTGTTAAGATTTGTTAAGATGCGAATCTTAACACGCAAAAAACCGGTTAAGCTTCCCCCGCCTCAATCTTGACACGCAAAATACCGGTTAAGATTGCAAAAACACAATCTTAACACGCAAATTACCGGTTAAGATTGGTGTTAAGATTTGTTAAGATTTGCTAAGATTTGTTAAGATTTGTTAAGGTTCCCCAAGGG